TTTGAGAGAGGCGGGGCATATAGGACCTACAATAATGTACAGTATTTGAAAAATAATGTGTTTTTTGAACATTAAAGCATGTCAACATATTCTGTTACACCAAATACACCAAATAATGATCTTTAAAAAAGCATCATATGACCCCTTTAATCTAATCTAACATGTCATATCTTCTTGAGAGCAATTGACAGAGCCTTGGAAGAAATATGTGTTGGCACCTGATTATTCAGAGTGACCAATATTAGCACCTTTAGATAATACACTGCTTTCAGTAATTGTTGAGGCATATGTTGAGATTTTTACCATGGCAAGCAGGTTGAAGGTGGGGCAGGAGCCCCTCATTAAGAGCAAGTTTCCTGGAGACCTGAAGCTTTAGAGAAGCAGTTACATTCATGCAGTTTTATGTAGAAATGGGCTTAGTTTTTATAAACGTAATATATAAAATATATTTCTTTGCTTGTATGAAGTTGTAATTTTTATAATGTAGGCTTGATCGCAAAACATTGTTCTGAGGTTTAAACTTTTGAGTCCTCAATCCCTGGCCTTCTAGCCATTTGCATGTAATGGCATTTATTTTTGCTTTTGTCTAGGGTTGGAACTGTGTCATATCCTAATTGCCTTGTATCAACATTTCCAGTCACTGCAGAGGATTTGCCACATGAAATTAGTTATTATACAGTCCGCACCAGGAAGGGAAGTACACGAAGGTCACAGGATGTTAGATGAGCTTATTGTTTTTTTTAATCATTGTAAATGTTATTCCTGAGCATGACTATAAGTCCGTATCAGGCCAGAATTTCATCAAAGTAACTTTGTCAGTTGCTTTTAGGCCTGTAGAGTGAGTATTCCTGTTTTTTTTAAACAGTTAGTGTTGCTTCTCCGGTTAATCCTCATTGTAACCTTAACCAATACTAGGTGAAAGGCGCATCAAGTAGTAGCCCACCAGAAGACGGTGTCTATTTCACTTCCTGTTGTGTGTTGTTAGCCAGTTTCAGATTTCAGCCTGTTGAAATCAATTTCTCATTGTAATTAGTCCCAAATGAATCCAGTTGTACTATAAGAAAGTGATGGAGTTCTAAAATTCTTAAAAATGGGATAACTTAAATCACATTTTGACTAAGGCACTATTTCAGAAGACTGTCTGTCCTTTAACTAAACAAATTAGTCATGGTTCTTGCTGCGAAACTACCTTTGACCTATTTGTCTCCAGGCCGAATTGATACAGACAGTATAACTTTTTAACTTTGAACATTGAAAAATCTCATATTCATATATTCAGTCTGAATGACCGTGATTCATATACTTTTGTCCCTCAATGCTAAAGACATGTGAGAGTCAAACTCGTGTCCTTTTCTCGTGAACTTTTTCTCCATTAAGTACTGCAAATCTTTGTTTTAATACCTGTGCTTCATTGGCAGAATTGTATTTTAAATCATCCTGGCTGATATGTTAGTATATATTAATTTAATATTTATTTTAATATTAACCTAACATAAATGTTGTATTATTAGCCTTTATTTTAATGATTGACACTGGTCTGAACAGGCCATATTTCCAACTGTACGTTCATATGATTTATTCTATTTTTAAGGTTTTATTTGAACTGTTTTAATGTAACAATTATTGACCATAACTATATTGGTGCATCCATATTCTCTTTC